AATCATACTCAACACGTAACAAAACAATAATTGTACTAATCATACTCAACACGTAACAAAACAATAATTATACTAATCATACTCAACATGTAACAGAGCAATAATAATACTAATCACACTCAACGTTTTTGTATAGAATTAGAATGTTTTTGACAAAGTAACTTTGCAAAATACCAATGATAAGCTGAGTAAATTTACGAGTTTCATTTTTAATCTTCTTTTACTCCACAGTAAAAAGTTACAGTAAGGAGTCCATAACATTAAAATGTACAATTTTTCAACTTTTTACAACCCTTCCCCGCGATTGCTATGGAGCAGTATGCATCCGCTGCCGACCGGCACCCCAGCTTGATTGTTGTCATGATAAGAAAATAACGGAAAAATCTGTCATCAGTTCAGTTTGTAAATAATCGACTACTCAGCTATGCTATGGAAAGTTAGAGTTCACATTCGTGGTACACCGTATTGGAAAAATTTAACAAAAATCAACTTACCCATATGATGATAAGTAAATTGAATTAATTTTATTTTATAAATAATTTATAAAATTTTGCAATACTTGATATAGCAATACAGTCAAATATAAGAAGATAGTCTCTTGTCAAATTTGACGTCACTAGCCTTGACATAAGGCAGTAAGGTGATCCAGAGGACTAGATTCACTGATTTAATAATGACAAAAATACCTTATCATTAAAACTAAAAGCAAATAATTTATTAACTACAATTTGTATGGAATAGAATTTATCTAGTAGCAATGGAACTGCACTGGGACAAGGAATGTAGATAATACCGCTAAAACAATAAGCATATTCATAATTTACATCCAAAGTGCAAGGACATCGACTATTTAGTTTATATTTTGAAAAGGGCTGAAAGCTGATTCTGGTCTGCATAACATTATTTTTATTTTTTAAGCGAAGTGGAAATATTTAGCTATTATACACATTTTCGGCAAAATTTTCAGTACTTCCCAAACACCACAGACTAACTCCCAGCACTTTTTGTGTAGAGGAAATAAAAATCTTTCAATGAGTATCTTTTTTCTTGAAAAGAATGCATATGCACTTGCACAATGTTCATTTTCTACATTCTACTTAACAATTCTATTTTTATACAAGTCACTTGACAAACAGCTGATTAATTCGATATGACTGGTACTGTCTATGGTCTACTCCTATCCATCATGGATAGCTATTTTACATTTTCTACATGTATTCAGTTGCTTTATTACAATTTTTTTAAAAAAAGTTATACATATTAAAACGGCGCTATGATCACATTTTCCATATCAGTCCTGCACGTAGCTGAATAACATTTAGTATGAAAAAGTCAGCCAGTATTTCACTCAATGACAAATTATATTTGCTGACAAGGTCATTGTATCGACCATAGAACTTACAAAACTGTGTCTTTAAACTAATCTGTGACTTTGAAGGAGACTGTTGATATTCTTGTTTCATCAACTTATTTGTGATAATTTATATCATTTCAAATTGTACATACGTGGAGGAATGTCCTTGCGTATAGAGCAGGGTTATCCATACTTGAGAATTTAACCATGTAGGAAGCTGCGCGAAATCAAACCGAAAGCACGAATATATTAGATTTCCTAACCTTCATTAATCAATGACTGGTCCCACTGTTTTCACAAAACCTAAGTTTACCCATATTTTTAAAGCTAAAAAATACATATTTAAATAAGAATATTTACATTTGCGAAAATCTTTCTTAGATAAACCCACTGAAGAAAAAATATGTTCAATTCTGTGTGAACTTTATATGGGGTCAAAGGTCATAAAGTGACTAAATCACAGAGAGAGTGGTGTTAATCAAACATGGATACTTAAAATGCCACAGAACGTTTGAACAATTTGAAATCACAAATTATTGCTTTATATGAAAACAAAAATAGATCTGCTTATTAAAAAAGAACATTTAGAATATATCCTTTCACATAACCCTTGACGTTTCTCTTTCACTACTGTCAACAACTTAGAAAGAAGTACAGAAAGAGGCTTTGTTGAACATTTACTGGAATCCGCTATGTGTTTCCATTGTTATGGATTCCTATGAAGTTTTGGAATCCAGTATGGATGTGGAAGTTTAGAATCATTTTGATATTTGGGGTATTAAAAATATTCAAAATTGACAGATAATTTTAAAGAATTTCTTCCTTAGAAAGTGAACAATGGGTATAAGTTGGAACACCATATATAGAATTACCGTAAATCCAATTCTACTAAAACACAATTTATATAATGAGCCTTACAAACGAAGACAACGTTGTTAACTGCTTTGTCAGCAGGGATCAGTAGGTACTTATCATGTAATCAATCTATCCTTTTACATCTAGATTATTAAATACAGGAGTATAGATGGTTATCATATTGCCCCTCAAACTTTTACATACATGTAATACGTAATTGTAAGTAACATAGATTTCACACATTTAATCCATTCTGACAAAGTGTGACCAGCGTCTCCTTTATTTATATTGTGCCCATCGTGAGGCGATTTTTTTTTTATAGAATCATGATATTGATGAAATTCTGCTGCCATTATTGAGAGATAGGGTTTCCTATATTTTCGACCCTTTAAAATCATTGATCCAAAGTCCTTATAATTATCAAAGAACAAGGTTCACTTTTGCCTTATTTGGCCCTGTGAATTTCTGAAAAATTGAAACTGCAAAGTTCTAGTTTACAATGCATTGAAATATCACTTAGATCTTTGGTGACTGCGTATCTATAAAAAATGACGTCATTTTCTGGCTAGTCAATGCATTATGACGTCACGAAATGCGTCAATTTCCTCATATTCTGAAAAAGTCTACAAAAACGGCCAATTTTTAAAGCTATTTTTTGATATTTAATATAAAGCGCAACCTCTGATCTAAGATATGCAACTAGTTAATGATAGAACTGTTTCTGAGGATTAATGGACAAGTTTTATTTTTTAGATCAGAAAGTGCGCTCATATTATTTTTCTTCATTGAAAGTACTCAATTATACCTGTTTACCTAAAAATTCAAGAACATTGCAATTTCATAAAGCCAGTTCTCCTAGACCTAGACTTTTAGAGTAATTTTTTTAATAGGATATGAAAGCACCAAGTCTCTATTTTATTTTAATGCTTCAAATAGAAAATCAAGTGTTGATCAATTAATTGGTATATCTACAGGGCCATTTTATGCATAAAGTGAACCGACTTCTTTATGCCACCTGTACTAACGTGTCCAGCAGGACTATAGTTGTAGGGCGAAGAAGAACATGAACACGATGGAGGATTTTGTTTCAGATACTCGTTATTCAGGCCATATAATGTTTTCTTGTAATTATTATGTTTGGAAGCAATAGTCAATGTATATTTGTAGGAAATACAACGTATAGTCTTATAATCTGTCCCATCAAGTTAAATACAAGGTGTGGTCTATAACTTAAAATATGGTGGAATAAAACACTGTACCCTGTGATTAAGAATGCTACTTATATTCGGCGTGTAAATAACTTTTATTGGCATATTGAAATTAAAAAAGAATTAAGAAATGTTTTAAAATATTGAAATAATAAAAGGCCATAGACATAGCTTTTTTGATGTATTTTTCTCACATTTTCATATATCTAGTCTGCATGGCCATTTAATGAAGGGGTAATAATTATAATGAAATGTATGGAAATAGCAAATAGTATTCAAGCTCAATAGTACTTAAAACACTACAGAATAGAAGCAGAGCAAACTCAACCTCAAAAACATCTGGATGGGATCAAATGCCATGGAGGAGTGAGCATCCCCTTCCGACCGTTCAGTTCCTCCATTTGCTCCTTGTCAATATCGAAAATTAATGGAAAAATCCGTCGTCATTTTAGCTTGTAAATTAGTTATTAGTGTATACTAAGTGTAATAACAAACGCATTTTTATCCAGATATGTTAAACCAGAAAATAACTCTTCATAATATTTTTCTGCACCCTAATCGGCCTGTCACTGTTGACCGTTTGCTCACAGACAACAAGGCAAATTTTGCGATTTTCTGAAATAATCACTCTTAAAATTGCAAGTGCATATTTTTTTTCCTGATTGAATTTCTACCTTACATAGCTATTATACAGACAATACAGTAACGCTTTATCTTAATTATTATTATCTTTTTAGAGAACCCTGGTGTACTGAAGGCGTTTGTTCATGTACGAACAGTTTCGAATCAAGGCAAGCTTTCAAAAAATATATATGTTGTTAAACAATAAAATCGATACCTCACTTTAAGTAAATATTTTGTAATTTCTATATGAAATAAAATAGTCAATCAGTTTACCCATCGGAGCAGAGGTATACAAATAAAAAATAACTCCGCAAACGTATCTGTTTCTATGTGCATTTTAAACATTTTCCTAGAAGCCAAAAATTTTGAGCCTCTATATTTCGAAGAATCAGATAATTGTTTTTTTAACTTGCATATCAAAAAAACTGAATTTTAATTTCATTCAGAGTAAGGTAATGAAGGAAAATATTTATAAAATTTAAAAATTTTAAAGACAGTTTCCTAAAAAAAACAAACAAACAAACAAACAAACACTTTTTAACAGTATGACACAAGAGGAGTGAAATTGAATTGCAATTCCAGAGTAGCATATTTGACAATTCATATTAAATTCAATAAAATCGATAGTTAAACAACAGTAACATATAGAGTACGTAACAGCCAATCATTTTTCAGGCATTAATTAAGGTTGTAATATTTATATTCGGCAGTTATAGGAACATTTGGCAAAATTTTACAGATTCACACGAACATAGCAATATTTTTTTTCTTAAGAAAAAAAAGAAAAACAGGAAATGGGCAATCTGTGTGTTATCACTTTAATTGTCGCCTGCATGGCTTTGTCAGAAGCTATCGTTTTTTCTCAGAAATATACTACAAAACTTGAGTTAATTGATAAAATATCTAACTACGAGATTTTAGGAGAACAGGATTCGCATTCTTTAACCGAGTGTGCGGCGATGTGTCGAGGAGAGTGCATCGTCTTTGGATTCAACTCGAAAACGACGAAATGTCGTACACACAAAAAGGTTTGCTCTTCTGGGATGACTAAGGAGGACGGCTGGAGATACTACTCTCATCAAAGTCATTCACTTCCCGGTTGTATGTATAACTGTTATTATTTCCATGTTGTATGTATAATTGTCATTTGATTTCCCCTTTAATGTAAAATTATTTTTCTTCCATGTTGTGTGTATGACTGTTATCTATTTTCCCGTCGTATGTATAACGGCTATTTTTTTCTGTTTGTTTGCTTTTTCGATTGTTTGTTATTTAAGGTCCCTCTCGACAATTTTCACACGCATTGAGAACACCACCACTTGCCGATTTGGGGCTGCAAATGCCTATACTCGGCACTTGAATGGTCATTGATCAGTTTTGGATCTTTTTCGTGCAAACACTTTCTACCACACGCAACATCGGTTTAAAGGGTCTCATTTTTATCTCTATATCCTTCATTTACTTAGAAATGAATTCCTCTTTAACATTGCTGCCAGTTAGAGACACAAATAATGTTTGAATGACCTACAAAGTACTAGGATTGTTTTTACTAAGTTGCTTTATAAAATATTTAACAAATAATAGATTTGAAACAATTAAAAAACAAAACTAATTACAGGTAATAAGAAAGAGCTTATCATTATCTACATTGGAGATACTTCAAAGCACATTAACTTCAACAATTAACCTTAATATAAAATATTTAGATTAATAACACGAATCCTATTAATACCTGTATTTATGCAGAAAATGATTCCAGTAATTTTTCCAGCCCTTCCATTAGATTGTAAGGAGCTTTATGAAGATGGCAGGACTACTTCTGGTGTGTATGATATATATCCCTATGGAAGCATTACAAGACCTGTCAGTGTGTACTGCGATATGGTCACAATGTGCGGGGGATGGACAGTATGTAGTTCATAAAGAAGCACATTACATTACTCACATTCAGTTTTCTAATTATTTAAAGGGTTGTACAATTTAATAATAAATATGAATATTTTAGTCTATATCATAATACATTGTTCCTACGATTGTTCGAAACAGTGAATTGTGTTTCTATAATTGTTAATTTTTAAAGGCAATTCAAAAACGAGTTACGGGAACCCTCAGTTTTGACAGGAACTGGATGGAATATAAAAATGGCTTCGGTTCACCAGAACAAGATGTATGGGTTGGTAAGTGTATATACTTTCAAACTGGGACTTTCATCCAATTTTAAATAGACAGAATTTCTTCAATGTTGTCGATAAATAACTGGAAGTGTATCAAATATATTATTTTTAAACCTGGTTCAATTGTTTGTAATATGTTTTTGACAATTCCCAAAACATGGTGTCTGTTATTACCCAATCATGACAAGGAGTACACGGTGGGTGTGACTGGTCAGCAGGGGATGCTCACTGGCACCTGATCCCACCTCTGATGTTTTAGAGGTCATTGTTTGCTCTGCTCTGATTTTTATTGTTTATGGACTTTGATATCGCATTCTGTTCGTTATCTCCATACCCTTCATTGAAATCTCCAATCAAAAAGACAGCAAAAGGACTAGGACCCTCAGCTTGAGGGTTTTTGAAAGACATCAAATTCTACATCAATATTTACTACTCAAAAATAATTTGATTTTTCATAAATGAATATTTATATTTGAAATATTTTATTTTAGTTTGCAATGGACTTTAAACTTGATTTAAACTATATCTTAATACAGGAAATGACTTAATACATCTGTTAACAAAAGAAAACTCGACCGTGTATGTGTCCATCAATCTCCAGAATGGTACAACGCTTTATGAAATGTACGACCGGTTTTCTGTCTCTGACGAAGCTGGAAAATATCAGCTCTTTCTTGCAGGACCTGCCACGGGAACCTTAGGTAAGTGTATGCAACTTAATTTCTAAAAGAAATATCATATATCTTTTAATTGAAAGATTAAGTTGTTGTATATAAAGTTAAAATACAATTGTTTTTCTCTAATATTCTGTAAACATTCCATGTTAATACAACGTTTAAATATATCACGATATCATTTGTATGTACAATTCACGACTTTTATTAAACATATTACGTCGTTAGTATTAACACTAAGTTTTAGAAAACGTTGTACCGAGCTATAGAAAGCTAACTTCTTCTGGTGAAAAGATAACGTTCTATTTTTAATGTCAACAGTAGGTGTATGTTGCATCACAGTTCAGTAAATTGTAAAGAGTTAAATGAAAATAAAATAATGTAAACAGTTACAGGTACATCACTTCTTACCTCGTCATAATTCATAATGATTCCTGCGTATTACATTTTATATCTTTTAAAGGCACAGTTTCTACCAGATCCTTTTTTTCACATATTCATTTCACAGTGACCTTAATAAAAATAAATCATTTCCCTTTTTAGTCAAACTTTGAAGTGTAACAAACAAAGTTTATTGATACATTAGAAAAGATTCTAAATGAATTACATAATGTATTGTTGAATTGTATTCTTAAGTAGATATTATCACCTTTCCCAGCACCTGAAACCGTCTATCTTAGAAGTACCTCAATGTTATTATTACCAATTAGATTGAAGATATATAAATCAATTATTTCTGTGATTTCTTTTGTTTAATTTTACAGGGGACAGTATGTTAAACACTGTTAACCCCATTCTATATGATCCGTCTGGGATGTCCTTCACCACCCAAGACAGAGACAATGACAGGAGGAGTTGGGATAACTGTGCTGCTAGCTACAGAGGAGGCTGGTGGTTCAATGACTGTTTCAACGCCTTCCTTAACGGTCCCTGGTACCCGGAGTCCTGGACCTGGCCATGGTATCCCATATTAACGAGTGGGACATCGGTGAGGGGGACCACCATGATGGTCAGACGTCACTAGGTAAACATCAATAAATTTTAATTCTTAAATCTTAAGCCTTTTTTGTATTTCTGTAAAAAAAAATCCAATCTTAATAAGCAGTTTTTTTTCTTCTGTTTGTATTACTGTGAAAATTTCAAATGGTTATAAGAGGTTTTTTCAAAGTTAAATATGTTCTTATTTCTTTGAAACATTAATTAAATTCTTTGTTTTAACAGACGAATGATCATCCATCAATGAGACGAATCCATTTTGATTCAAGAGACGGTTTTAAATTTAACATTTATCACGGTTTTTTTTTGTAAGATTGTTTGACATCAAGTCAATAAACAAATATGTTTTCAGGGGATGAAGGATTATGTAAAGCAATAAATCATTGTAATTTTGTTCTACTGAATGTTTTCAGTAAAAGATGTACTTTATATGTGTTGTAATAAATTTGAATTTAGAAATATTTCGTTGTTATTCACACTAATTAATGAAGATGTCTGGACGGAAAATAAAGATCCAGATTACTTTATTTTCAAACATATGACAGTGGAACCTGTTTAAAACGACACATTTGCAATACATTTTACTGTGGTGTCCGACATTCAATAAATGCCATGCAAGAGCAATGTCATAAGCGAAAATCAAAATTTGAAATCATTTAATTTATTGTTATTTAGGTTCGAGATAATTCAAGTAAGTCAAAAAAGAAACCAAATTGCAAAACAAGGCAAGGAATTGGAAAAAGCAATGATTCATTGTTTTTTGAAAGATGTTATCTTATCTGCATTTGTCTTTGCAAATAAAACTTATAGAGCTAACATTAATCACTATGTTTGCAATTCCTTTGCAGTTATGAGACTACTTTTTTTTAAAGAATGATTCAATGCTTAAATAATGACACAACAAAAAATCGATATGTGTATTAAGACCATTCATTCTATTTTATGCGATGCGTAGACTACGGTAATATATATCCAAACTTTGATTGACTACAACTTGGACTTTGTTGTTAAACTAATAGAAAAAGTTTTAGGAGCTAATAATAAAAATTCAAGATAATTTTATGAAACAAAGCAGCTTATGATGAATGTTGTCGTTTGCAGATCAAACACCGAAGTAAAGAGAGAAACAAGTTTGTGTCCATTGGGTCTAATTTGTTAATTATAAAAAGGGAGGGGGTGATGATAAAACTTATTTACAAAGACTGAAAAATAATACATCTTTTCCGCTTAGTATTTTTCTAATGTTCTATATGAAGGATATGGTGAATTGTAAAGATATTGTTTTCTGCTTTGCTGGCGACAAGCTGTCTGCAGTGAATACATTCGATTTTTTACCTACGTTTAGGAGTAATTTATTTTAAAAATGGTAAGAATTGTTTACGATTTTTTATCTTAGGAAGCTGATTATTCAATTTAAACAGTGTATAAATTTAACATATTGTAATCATTGAGAATACCAGGTGTTTCTTTTTTTTATTGAATTTTTCCCCCCAAGATTGCTGTATCCCTATTATAATTTTGAAATAAGCACACAACAAATATCCAGTATCACCGTTCCCACTTCAGCTAAGGGCGCATAGATCCGAAGCTTACTCGGCGCCTTAAAGTAACTTAAAAATAGGTAGTGGACTTTTGCGAGGAGCGTTAACTTTTACAATCGTCGGCTTACTTTTACACAAGGAAAATGTACGGAAGCTCTTTTTTCCGATATTAATACATGTATTTAGCTTAACGCTGAAGTGAGCGACAAAAATCGATGGCCTAAATCGAAGGTTTCTACAACGCATAGATCTGTAGCTCTCTGCTTTATCTGTCCGAATTTTCTCAAGCAGAAAGCTACATTTCTTAAGCAATAGACGGTTGTATGTCGGCTACAATCTTGTAAGAGTTCTTATCTTCCCGTTTATATTTTCACTTTGATAATTTCATTCTAACAAAGCCGAGCTATGATGATTATAAAAAAATAACAAAAGGAAGTGTTTGAAATACACAATGATAATAATATCAAAGGGGATGTATATTTTACATACATTTTATTCTACATAATCAAGATATCTACAGAATCAAGGATCAGTTTTGTCACTATAGAAATGTAAAGTCGTCACTGTTCTTTTTCTCATTGATAGTGTAGATGTCTAAGGTAAAACCCTCCTCTTCTCTCTCGGGAATGCCTTTGGTAGGCCGTCCAGGCTCTGCGGATAAATATTCCCTATCTGCAAAGGAGAGTGGCTGTTTTTGTGGCAGCCTTAATATCGCCCTGTCTCGAGGCCATACCCTCTGCCACCCAGGCAACCGCCTTAAAGCACTTGACGCGCTCCCTGACTGTTATCGAAGTGATATCCAGGACCCAATTCGGATCCTTGTCACGGCACCAATTAGTCTGTATAACACTTCCAGCTAACGTTATACGTCACAAAATAAAATCATAATGGTGGTTTTGTGGTACATTTCTTTATTATAATATTACAACCAAAGTCGCAGGTAATAAGACAACGTCAAAATTAATAATTTTACACAAATTGGGCAACATATATGTCTGGGAAAGACAACTTAAGTAAAGGAAAATTTATGTTTATTGGTGGACAGAGATTCTCGCATGTGGCTACATAATCTTGTTTCCAGGTACCCATCAATATGGCGGGGGTAAAAATGGTCCAAGAGCTGCCAAAATCTTATGTATTTGGGATCAGACGGGTGATGAATTGGAGAATGGTTCTTTAGAGCTGATAGTCAATGGGTACGCACTTTGGTGACTGAATCATCCTCTCCTGTCGGGGAAGTTGGGTATCCTTTGCTTAACTAATCTGCAAAAGCACCTATCCGGTATGGTTGCAGCGATGCCTCTACCTTAGGGTAATCTTTTTTGCTAAATAAAATAATCGTGCCACGAAAGCTTGTACACTTTCTCGGAAACAATAACGTGTTTGGCAAGTCTGACACATCGGCAAATCGCAGGGGCTTATCCTGCTTAAGGTAAACCCACAACTTTTACACAACCCTATAACACATTAAAAGGTTATATAATTATTATACCCCCCGTTTGAAAAGCGGGAGGGTATATAGTAATCGTTAATTCCGTCCGTCTGTACGTCTGTCCGTACGTCCGTCCGTCCGTCTGTCTGTCCGTCCGTCTGTTACGCTTTGGGGTACCCATCTTTTATCCGCAACTCCTCTCAAACCACTGAATGAAATTTGATGCTACTTTCACAGAGCCTTTATTACATATTGCCATTGTGCACCTCCTATTTTACTTTTTGGTCAAACACATATTTTGGGTTTCCCGGCCACAGGAAAACATGGACTTTTTCACCAGTTATAACCATATGGGAGGCGGGGGGTATCATTTAGTGAGCTCATCGCTCACAGTACCTCTAGTTTAATGTTAGAACAGATAAACAAACAGTTCAGGTAAACAGTTACCAAAACAAGAGGCCCATGGGCCTTATAGGTCACCTGAGCATTATGCAACAACTTTCCAGTGATTGAATTTGATTCATGTTTTAATCCAGATGCTATGGCATTCACAATTTTGAAATAGGCACCATTGATCATCATAACAATACACTTAGCAGTTGCTTAGTTTGTTTACTTAATACCCATAGGCAGGGTAGGGGAACAAAAACTGCATTTCAAGTAATCAGTAATATTCAGCATGATCAGTAATGCCCCAATCACACATGAACCCCTGACCCTTAGGCCTAGATCCACACATTGCACAATTTTTGAAACGGCACCCTTGCTTTTCAAAAATATTTGATAAATACCAAGGAGCAGATTTCAAACAATTCATCCAGTTTCAGTATATAAGTACAGCCCCCCCCTCCTTTATGTTACCCTTGACCCTGGGGCCTTGAAATTCACAATTCTGGAAGATTAGGACCCTTACTCATCATAACTACATAGGTAGTTCATCTGCTTAATACCAAGGAGCAGAGAAGAAAACTTTCAAAGATTTAGTGTATTTTCATTGTATAATCAATAAAGCCCCACCCTATCATTAGAATCCCTGACCCTGGGGCCATAAAATTCACAATTTTGGAAGAGGCACTCTTGCTCATCATAACTATGCACTTATTTAGTTTATTTAATACCCAGACGCAGAGAAGAAGATTTTCAAAGAATTCATGTATTTTCACTATATAATCTAAAGAGCCCCCCCCCCCCTACACCAGAACCCCTGACCCTGGGGCCATCGAATTCACAATTTTGGTAGAAGCACTTTTGCTCATCATAACAAAGCACTTAGTTAGTTAATTCAATACCCAGGAGCAGAGAAGAAGATTTTCAAAGAATTCAAGTATTTTCACTACATAATCTATAGAGCCCCCCCCCCCTTACACCAGAACCCCTGATCCTGGGGCCATAAAATTAACAATTTTGGTAGAGGCACTCTTGCTCATCATAACTATGCACTTAGTTTATTTAATACCCAGGAGCAGAGAAGATTTCCAAAGAAATAATGCATTTTCACTATATAATCTAAAGAGCCCCCCCCCCCCTACACCAGAACCCCTGACCCTGGGGCCATCGAATTCACAATTTTGGTAGAAGCACTTTTGCTCATCATAACAAAGTACTTAGTTAGTTAATTCAATACCCAGGAGCAGAGAAGAAGATTTTCAAAGAATTCAAGTATTTTCACTACATAATCTATAGAGCCCCCCCCCCCCCCCCCTTACACCAGAACCCCTGACCCTGGGGCCATAAAATTCACAATTTTGGTAGAGGCACTCTTGCTCATCATAACTATGCACTTATTTAGTTTATTTAATACCCAGAAGCAGAGAAGAAGATTTTCAAAGAATTCATGTATTTTCACTATATAATCTATAGAGCCCCACCCTAACACCAGAACCCCTGACCCTGGGGCCATAAAATTCACAATTTTGGTAGAGGCACTCTTGCTCATCATAACTATGCACTTAGTTAGTTTATTTAATACCCAGGAGCAGAGAAGAAGATTTTCAAAGAATTCATGAAATTTCACTATATACTTATTTAGCCCCACCCTAACACCAGAACCCCTGA